TTAATTTTTGTCAACATTGTGTGCAACAGATGACATATGCAGTTCTATTATTAATTGTTCTCAAGTTAGTCTTTGTCAACATTGTGTGCAATAGATGACATATGAAGTTCTATTATTAATTGTTCTCAAATTAATTTTTGTCAACATTGCATGCACTAAAAGCGATATATGCAATTATAATATTGTTCTCAAGTTAGTCTTTGTCAACATTGTGTGTACTATGTGATATATGCAGTTCTATTATTAATTGTTCTCAAGTTAGTCTTTGCCAACATTGCACGCACATTCATTATTCACTGAGTTTTAATTGTGCTATTTTCGCCGATAAGTGAACATGTAAAATAACAATAGAACTCATTGTTTCCCAGCCAAGTTCCAAATTTGTGAACCCAGTGATTTGCTCAAAACATTAAAATAGTGAAATTAAATGCCAGTGAAAATAAATTATATTACAGTATAAACATTTGTTGTTTTGTGAGCCTCAACAGGAAAAGATACAATGAAAATGTACAGAAAATATAGTTATCGTAATCCGTCATATCGTGAGCAGCTATTCTGATCCACCTGGACATCCCAGTATCCTAGTTACCTCGGGCATGCATTTTTCTGAGTTGGAACGCTTATGCGAGAGCGAGATTGAAACAAGATATTGGTATCATGTCACAGTAGTTGCAAACCCCAAGTAATGTACCTCTGGTAATACGTAAATTTGTTTTGCAATAATGAGCTACAAAACCACATCAGTATTTGTTATTGAGTTATGACATTATGAACATTTTGCTGAAATTTACTGGTCTGAATGCTTAGGCAGTGCTCTAAAAAATATTATTTGATTAAAAAACTCTAATGCCATTCATGAATATATTAACTATAAATTTATAGCCCAGTTATAAATTTATAGCCCTGTATTTCAGGAAGCTATTGCTTTCATCGAGAAACAGCATCAAACTGGGGAACAGTTTTTCTTGTACTGGACACCAGATGCCTCACACAGTCCACACTATGCTTCCAAATCATTTCTTGGTACAAGTCAACGAGAGCTGTATGGTGATGCTGTAATGGAGCTAGATTATGGTGTAGGTCAGATACTGGGTAAACTGAAGGAACTTCAAATTGAAAACAATACGTTTGTTTTCTTCTCATCAGATAATGGTGCTGCTCTATCAGGTGGAGCTTATGGTAATTATCCTTGGCTTCTTTTACAAATCACAAAGTTGAATTTTTTGTTTTTATTACTTGTAATGTGCAGGCTCATATCTCCATGTAATAATCACACACCTGGAAATAAATGTGACTGTTTACCACACATGGACAAAATATTTCACTCTTCAATCAATTGTTTCTCACCCACCATTCACAAAATAAACCAATGATTGTCAACACCTTTCATAAAATAAATTGATGATTGTTATTATTTTTTTTTTGGACTCAGTTTGGTCAATAATTAACTTTAAAATCTGTGCAGAATTGCTCAAAATTGTTGGTGGTAAAGTTATGTCATTCAAGGGATCAATTAATGTAAATTTTGAAAATTAAACAGCTCAATAAAATACTTATAGAATCTCAATCTTAAAACTGTCATATTAATTACATTGTATTTTTTGTAGTTGGTTCCAATGGTCCGTTCCTCTGTGGTAAGCACACTACATTTGAAGGTGGTATGAGGGAACCTTCTATAGCTTGGTGGCCAGGTAGAATAAAACCAGGAAAGGTAAGTCTGTCTTACTAGCCTCAGTTAAGCCTCAGTTCATGTATGATCATTGTAATTGTTTACCTTTACACATGCACTTGAATGATAGGAAGAGTTGAATGTATGGGTGATGCTACTATCAATTATGTAATACTGTAAAATACTTTATTTTAACTGGAATTAATTTTCACTGAAAAGAGTTTTTGAGTGTTTTGTATGGAATTTATTTTCACTGATTTTTGATGAGTTGAATGTAAAAGGTATATTCGCTGGATTTTTTTTTTCACTGAATCATTCTTTCAGCAAAAATTAGATGCAAGCAAAAATAAAATATATTGAATATTCAATTTTTACACAGATAGTACATGAATTGGGTTCACTGATGGACCTGTTTGCGACTGCTGTAGATATTGCTGGAATGAAGCTTCCAGCAGATAGAGTATATGATGGTAGTAGCTTGTTACCAGTACTCGTTGATGATAAAATGAATAAAAATAAAACTATATTTTATTACCGTGGCAATGAACTGATGGCTGCTAGACGTGGAATGTATAAAGCTCATTTCTGGACTTGGTCTGAAGGTATTCCTACATTGGTAAGTTAAAGTTGTAGTTTTGGCAAAACTTTTTGCTATTGGCAGGAAACTGCTGATGTGAATACTATAATTATAATGCTATCAAAAACGTTTCATTAAAAGGTGTATATGAAAACATAATTTGTTGGATACAGACAAAACCTGTCTATGTCTAGGAAAGTTTTTAGAAACCATTATTTAAATCAAAGAAAGCTTGGAGAGAACAGTGTGCTGAGGATATTGGAAGCATGAAGTACAAATAAGGAATACTGTATTTACTATATTAGAAGCACATCTCCAATATATAAATTATGTTTTTTTTATTTGAGAACGCTTACACACGTAATCATTACATATTTGGAATTCACATTTCCTAAATACTCCGTAAAATACCACAAAATTATGTCACGTTGTAACTTATGGCGTTACAATGACAGATGTATAATAATAGTAAATACACATATTGCACAATTATACTATGTTTTTGTAAGTATGACATTTCATGTCTAAGTTTGGACTTTTGTTTTACCTATGCTCACTTTTGTAAATATTTATTGGCAGCATTTAGAGTATTGCCCTGGAATGCAGGTGGAAGATGTCACAACCAGGAATCTGACCAATCACATGGCCCAACCAGTATTGTTCCATCTTGGAAGAGATCCAGGGGAAAAATTTAAATTGAAGTAAGTTAAATATGTAATATGTTCAATTTTGTGTAGGGTAGGTTCTAATATTACAATTATTGACAACAAGAGTACACTTGTATCACAATGTATATGCAATATGTCCACATGTGTGCAATATCACACCACCTGTTCTCATAGTGGGGTTGTGTGGCAACATGTCCACAGGTGGTTTAATATAAACACTTGTTAATGAATGTGTATGGCTATTTTTGCTGTGTCCCCTTGTCCTGTATATCTTCCTCTTCACCCCATGTGTCAATCTGCTAACAGCTGTGACTAGTGACCTCCAGTTGACTAATAATGTGAATGAATCACTTGATAATAAACATATTAATTGGAACAAACAATAAATCGCTGCTGATGATAAAGAGACTATAGCAGTACAAACTTAAAATAATAAATTCCAATTTTTCAGGAATGAAATACGTGGGATTTTTCTAGATATTTACAAACATACTGTCATGACAAACATAGATAAATTTAACAAATACACAAAGAGGTGTAATATTAGACAAGCATGTTGTACTTGTGTTGAAATACATTTTATATTTCATGTCAGAATATTGTTTAAAATAAAATATTCAGTGCAAGCATGGAACTATAATTCCATGGTCCAAGCCAAATCGAGGTCAAAGGATCAGATTGCGTGCATATAATTATAGATAGTTAAAAAGGAAAAGCATTTGAAATTTTGTTGGCTGTTCAACATATATAAAAAAACAGAAAGACAATTATAAGACAATGTAACCCTCAGAAATTTTTCTATTAGTCCAAATTTTAAATGCCAGCAGGCGGTGATATTTCGTGGTTTGCGCCGTCGAAAATAAAGCAGAAATTGTCCAGTCGAATTCAACAAGCGGTCTCAAAAGCGAGAGAAAAAGGCGATTGGAAAGCGGAAGCGGGCTGGAGGTTGTGCGAAATGAGTACTGTAATTTTGCGCAACCTTCTTTTAAATCGTTTTATTTTCTAAGTCAATAATCTATTTTACTAATACCATTTTTTCTAATGCAATGGCGAGGAAAAGAAAAAAGAAAGAAAGTGTTGACAGACAAGGCAAAGAAAAATCTGCCACTCAGTGACGCAAAGTAATATTACTGTACTGTAACTTTGCGCAAATTTCTTTTAAATCGTTTTATTTTCCAAGTCAATATTCTATTTTACTAATACAATTTTTTCTAACGCAATGGCGAGGAAAAGAAAGAGAGCGTTGACAGACGAGGCAAAGAAAAATCTGCCACTCAGTGACGCGAAGTAATATTACTGTACTGTAACTTTGCGCAAATTTCTTTTAAATCGTTTTATTTTCCAAGTCAATATTCTGTTTTACTAATACCATTTTTTCTAATGCAATGGCGAGGAAAAGAAAAAAAAAAGAAAGTGTTGACAGACGAGGCAAAGACAAATCTGCCACTCAGTGACACGAAGTAATATTACTGTACTGTAACTTTGCACAAATTTCTTTTAAATCGTTTTATTTTCCAAGTCAGTATTCTATTTTACTAAAACCATTTATTCTAACGCAATGGCGAGGAATAGAAAGAAAGCGTTGACAGACGAGGCAAAGAAAAATCTGCCACTCAGTGACACAGACTAATATTACGGACCAACCTCGCAAGTGGTTCGAAAATGATGATGACGTTGAACTATTCATATCCACGCAAAATATTTTCGACTACTTGACCGGTTACGATGCCGATACACGAGAAAGCGAGTACAGAAAATCTGTTGCTCGTCGATATCAGCCAAATAAACAAAGCCATCGTTTCCGTTTACACAGAGAGCGTGTGCCCATCTAATTTTCCGTTGCCACAGTGACTGCCGTTTTAGTTTTCTGTCCTTAGCTGTGGTTTCAATTCATTCACACAGCTTTACGTTTTTTCTCTTACAAAATAATATACACGCTTTGTTCGGAGTTTAAAGTAATTTGTATTACTTAATTATAGATTCCCGTGGAACAAATATTAGTGCTGTAATTCACGCTGGTGGGGAATGGGTGACAAACATTTTTAAACGTGAATTTCACGACGAACGTTTTTAAAACGAATCAATGTTTTGGTTATCTCTGGTGCGACTGCAGTCTTTGGAACAAACATGGGGGACTCTAAAACGCAATTTATGGTACGCGACTTAAAAACGCAAATTAATGCACGTGAATTTCCCAACAAAGGTTTAAATGTTTTAGTTGTCTGTGGTGTGGCACTGATGCATTGTTATGCTAATTTGATTTCCGGCATGTTAGTTGACAAAGAAAGTGAATATTCGTGGTGTATTTTAAGTCTAACCGGACCGAAAGTGGGAATTTCTTAGTACTCTAAATATCCAAACATATTTTAGTATAAGGTTGTAATAACCTTTATTTATATTATACTGACATACGTTTTGTATGGATTAAGGTCTGACATTAACTACATTAATACAAGTAGCTGCATGACAGCAGTCACAAGGTTTCAAAATATAAGTAACAAGCAAGCAAGATAATAATTAAACCAGTGTTAAATCAATTATTGACATGCTAATTTTGATACAGATGAACCTAAGGTTACCCTAACATTTTATATACTATATTAAATATGCCCTGAACCATTTTCATGAATAATTGGGTGACCACTTTTCAAGAGCAAGTTGTAAATATTTCACTAAATATTCACTAAAATGAAAGAATTTAAGATGCTATCACAAAGTGAAAATATCTAATAGAGGTTCATCCACACATACCAAGTATCTGTCAGTGACAAAGTAGACAGTGGAGCTGAACTTATATCAAGGTGATTGCTATGAAGATTATCCTGTCATATTATATTGATCATACCCATTCACTACGTTCAATTACCCACCATAGACTCCGGTCTGTCAAAATGACTATTTTGAACTGTAGGCATTAATCAGCGATTCTGCCAGTGACGGAGAGATAGAATCTAGGTCAGGGGACCTAGACCCCAAGATTCTTTTACTCCTTACATCACGAACCCACGTGAACGAGGCCATAGGCAGCCATACAATCACTCTTCTTTCATCTCCACCTCGTCGGGAACGATTCTGAGCGGCTCTGCCTGGCTCTGTTGCTTTTTCCTGTCCGCGTTTCTAGCGTTGTTGCCGCTGCACTGCATCCGACATTGTAGCTGGTAGGATAAGTTTTCCTAGTCATTTTTACCCTCGTGTCGTTTTTCCCTTTGTGTGTAGTATTTTTCACAACAAAGAAATTAAAACCCGGCGCCACTACGTAACCACTTGCTGGTTTCGCGGCGGCACCTTTTACAACTATATTTCGTTTTTCCCTCATGCATGTCGTCTTTTATTTACAATGTATTTAGCAATATATAGATGTAATGACAGCACCAGGGCTCGCTGCCATTTTTTTTTCGGTCTCCTCATGTTTCGAGTCGACTGTGCAGTGGTTATATTCAGAATTTACCAGCATAGAACCCGCATCCGAGATACTTTGTCGTAGCTGCATGCGGGGTTCGGGGTTTTTGCATGAAGGTGTGTGTTTTTTCACTGGAGTTCTGAGGCCTGGGATTTTCTTTCAGAGCCATCAAAATCACTGAGACTGACCGCGTCACAGCAAAGGCGCGCGTCCAGTAAACAAATCGGTTAAAGTGAGTTGCGTGTTTTGCATGAGTGGAAAATCCTCACACTCGGCTACCGGTGCTTCGTGTACCGAGACGTCGAGTAGGAGGCCTGATGGTAGAGGTACCAATATTTTTCTCGGTCTCCCCCCGCTGATCGGAGGGCATCCTCATAGTCTGTTTTTGCTTAAGGCC